CACAAAAAAAGAAGTAAAAAGGCAAAGTATTTGATGCATATTGTTACTTTGTAATGTTCTGTAAAAGCAAGTTTTTCAGGAGTTGGGGAAGTTGTAAAGCTTCAACCAAGGTTTTAGCAGTCAGTATTTGCAGTTCAAAGTCCAGGGACTTGTGCTCCTTAATCACTTCAGTGCTTTTGAAAACCGCACTACAAGTTCCTGAGTGTGTACTTAACATCTTATCTTTTCTGAGGGTGGGGCTGGGGAAATTCTATATAACGAATCTCCAAAATTGCTATTGATTTATCAAAAAACTGCAGTGAGTTGATGAGATACAATTGAGCAGTTATGTTTGGAAATGCTATTAAGAATGGGTAATGAGACTTTAACATTGCATGTTTAAGGAAAAAACTACCTGCCTAAGAGTACTTAAGCAGAAATACATTAGGTTATTTTTCTATGCCCTGTCTTATGTCTAGAGCAATTTCACTGAAACAGAGTGATATTTTAAAAGTATTGGAAATCATGTCTTTCTTTGGTTTATTGTATATTTTAATCTAAAGCCACTTTGGTACACTTACTCAAACTGAACTGTTGGTAAATTAAGTAATTCTGAAGAAATTAAATTAATTTTCTAAGGAATCAAAAATCTTTCTGTTACATCCCTTTTATGTTAAACCTCTTGAGCGGAGGGAGTGGGAACAGTACAGCATTGACTTCGGACATGGTAATACAGTAAAAAAAAAAGAGTAGACTGTATAAACTGTTGCATTTTAGGGCTTGTTTAGAGTAACTGGTAAACATAAAATGGTTTTGTTTCTTTGTAGTCTGGAACAGGTGAAGCTTAGCTCACTCTCCTGTTGTGTTCTCTGTATGTGAACACAACATATAAAAGGCTGAATGCCCCCTGCTGACGGGGCTTCTTGGAGAGGGGGCGAAAGGTTTGTGACAAGAGGAGGAGTGCAGGCCTGATCATTTACTTCTGGGTGGTGTTCCCAGTTTGTGGTTTTGCGTCACTATTAATTCCATTAAAAGTTTACCTCTGTCCTTGTGTTTGAATTATACCCTTGATGTTTCATGTAGCAGTATCAGGAAGGCTAGGAGGCTCCCTCGTACTTGTTGACACGGGTGGTGGAATTTCTTCAGTGTCAGTGAAAAGATGTGGCAATAGTATCCTTGGGAAAGGGGAGAAATAATCTGCACTCTTACCTCATCACACTGAAACTTTGGGATCAAATCTCAGTATAAAGACCTGAGAATTACCTGAGTTTGATCACCGTTTCTGCATCATTCTTCTCACTAAAAATGTGGGAATGCAATACCTCCTGAAACTCCATTTTAATATATATTCTAGTTAGTGTACTGTAGTGGGAGTAACACGGTAAGGAAAGTAGAAATTTTCTTGGGACTTACATGGAGTTAGGTTTATAAATGTCTGTTTGGCATTATTTCTAGGAACAGGAACAGATATAGTTAATTCTTGTCAAGCTGTGAGTAATCTGCTGTCATGCACCCTTGTATCAACTGTAGTTTGGACAAGGGAAAAAGCTGTCTGTCTTTATTCAGCTTTTAAAATTCTGTTTAAAGGAAAGGTGACATAGGCTTTTAGATGCAAACAGCCCTACTTCCAGCTGCTGCTGTTTTTAATATAAATGCTTCTAACATAACCTTGTGCTCTTGTTCTTTTGATAACTATGTGATGCCATTAATTACTACTGTTTAAGTCCTTGCTGCAGCAAGTGTTCCTGACAGTAAATACTACCTTAACATTTCCCCCTCAAGATCATCTTCAGCTTAGTGTACAAGCATATGATTGTGGATAGCTGCTGAGGAAACTTTTTTTTATGTGTTACAGAATGACAACAGTGAACGACGTCGCCATGATAATAGCGAGCGCAGAAGAAATGACAATCCAGAGTCTGAGACCAATGGGCAGCCACAAAACAACATTCAGCAAGTGGTGGAACAAGACGAAGAAGAAGATGAGGAGCTGACACTGAAATATGGGGCAAAACATGTGATTATGTTGTTTGTACCTGTCACACTTTGCATGGTGGTCGTTGTTGCAACCATCAAGTCTGTCAGCTTTTATACACGCAAGGATGGACAGCTGTATGTATAAATTTTTTTCCCCTATCTTTTCAATGGACTCACTTAGATAATTTTCTTTAATCTTCATTTCTTTTCAAGTCTAATTCAAGCAGTGAACTCCCTCTTGCCTCCCTTGTCCCCTCCACCAGCCTGAAGATCGTATTCCTTCCAGAAACCAGACTCTATATTCATGGTACTATTGACATTTGTTGTCTGTCTGGTGATCAGTTGGGATAATATCTTGGCTGCTACTGCTTGATTCAAATCCTAGTCCTCATTTTAATACTTCATTGTGTGCTGTGGTATTTATAAAATAAACTCAATCCTGAGCCAAAGCTGTTTCAGTTGTACTCTGCTAGAATACAAAGATTTTGGAAAAGCTAAAAACCTACTCATTTAAGTGAAGTAACATATATGCCAAGTTCTGGTTTGCCTATGCTGTTTGACAAAGAAATTCAAATGCAAGAGGAAGACAGCTTTATGAGGTTCACTTCTGTTGCAGCTACAGAAACTTTCCTGGCAGGATTCCTGTATTGATTTTTTTTTCTTTTTTCTTTTTTTTTTTTTTTTTTGGCGAAGTACTAATGTTGCCAAAAAAAAATCCAATTTCAGGTAAAGCTGATTTGAGAGAAAGGAGGCAAAGGAAGAACACTGAGCCTGTCAGAACCCACAGCAAATCAGTCTCAATGTTCCACTGTGAAAACATTTAGACAAAATGATTCAAAGTGTGTTTGGCTTTGAAATGTTTGTGTAATATAAGCATGTCATAAAATGTTTCAATAAAACACTGAGTTCTTTTTCACTATCAAAATTGTTGATCAACAAGAATTATTTTTCTTGAGATTTTACTTATGGTGTTTTCAGCTCGCCCTCCCTTCCCCATAATGAAGTGATTTTTTTTCCCCAGCTTGTTGTATATCTTTAAGAAAAAGAGAGCTGAGCCCATACAATGTTTTGTTGAAATCACTGGGGAACCTTTCTCTGTAAATCCACTAGATGGTGTGCTTATTATGAAAGTCTAGCTGCAGTAACAGTCTGATGACTCGTAGCCTGTGAGTGATTGTATCAAACAATGCAGAGTTCTGGTTTTTGTTTTACAAAGTAGAAAATAGTACTAATCTAAGAATGTAGGAAAGACAAGTCTTCTAAGGAAAAAATTACCATTTTTTAATTAAAGTTTGCCAAATATGATACTATGCCACCTTTCAGATTTTGCCGAAGTAGAAAATAGCTGTTGCTTTTGCAGCTCTGAATTGAAAGATTACTGCAATTCCATCTGATGTTGGCCTCGCATATCAGAAACATCTGTGCATTCATCGCATTTCAGTTGACTCTTTGTTGTTGTAGCATCTACACTCCTTTCACAGAAGAGACAGAGACAGTAGGACAGAGAGCCCTGAATTCAATTCTTAACGCCGCTATCATGATCAGCGTTATCATTGTCATGACCATACTCCTGGTTGTGCTTTACAAATACAGGTGCTACAAGGTGAGTATAAATATAATTGACTTGAGTAATTGTGCTAGTTTTATTTATTAGTACAGATTATCAAGAATGGAACAAAATGAAGGGTTATCAAGGATGAGTGAGCAAAAGTAGCAGAACTGGTGATTCAATTCACTGTTTCAATTCTGTGGCTTCTGTTCCTTTGACACAACAGGGGAGCAAAGGCCCAGCGCTAACACTGCTGGTTGTTTTGTCCATTAGAATTCAGGTGGTGTTGCTTCCTATTCCTGTTAAATGTACCATGTACTGAAATCTTCCTGTGGTCAAGAACTACAAAGTACAGACCTGGTCCTACAATTGGAAAGCTACTCAGGACTTCAGGGGCTTTTCAAGGGCTCCCTTTTCCCCACTCTACCCCCAGTATAGAAGTCTCCCAACAGTGTGACGTGCATGTGGCTGTACACACCAGGCAATACCCTTATAGCAAACACAGAGGCTCTGAGGCTCTTTTGTGAAAGATTTCAATCATATAATGATGTAATCTAGGCAAGTCCAGGCTTAGCATAAATAATTGCAATGTCACCTGCCTGGGAGGAGTTGTTTGTGAAAATTCCTGGTTGTCTTTTGGTCTTAAGGACCCATTTGACAAGGCTTGGCATATTAAAACTTCCCAATGTGCAGTCAGAACCTTAAATCCATTTCATAGTTGTAAAACAGGCTGTGGGATCCATGCACTGGCACAAAGCTTTGGTCCACTTTATTTTGTTTTCAAGAGGGGGAAAATGTTTTTGGTCTTCATGGCTGTGGGTAAAACCCCTCTACAAAGTATTTGTGGAGTGACTGTGGAAATTATTTCTGCCTGCATCTGCATACAGCTGGGAATAGTGTTTTTTTAAAGTATAGACCTTCTCTTTCACCACAGTGTGGTGTTAAATCTGAACTGGCAAAGTATTCTTTTTAAACTATCAATTCTGTTCATTCTAATAAAGCCAAATGCCTGATATACTTCAGGCAAGTTCCTTGGCAGCCTAGTCAGTTCTTCTCAGGTGCTGTAGGCATAAACAAGTTTTTACTAAGCTTTTCACATTTCTGGCTTCCCTCTTGACCTTACAAAGCACCACATGTTCTCCTTAGCAGAATAATTGTTGTACTAAAAAATCAGAATGATTTGACAACAGAAATTTCCTGTAGTTATATTTTATGCTAATTAAAAGAAATAATTAACTACCTATTTTTAGAATTGCTAAGAGTATTTCTATGCTGCTGTACCAGAATGCTGTAAAATATAGTTACCTGTCCATGGAATTCTATTTTACTTGTCATTCTATATGTAGAATGTGGTCTAGATTATGGGGAATTAATTGATGTTAGGCCTCCAACTGGTAGTGAAAATTTGCATATCTTCCCAAGATTTTCATCTGAAAACTCCTTTGAAGAAAGGAAATGCTATTTCAGCTTTACAGCTGTTAGTTTCCTATGTTTCTCCTGTATGTTTTAAGTTAAGCATGGTCCTGATTCTAGCTCCTAAATCTAACCAGAAACAGCATCTTCGAAGGTGATCTATTTGACTAGCTTTTCTTTGTAACATATTTTATTATTCTTTGCATTCCTTGTTGTTTTAGTCTGCCTAACGAAAATCTGGCTGTTGTAGATCATTTTACTTCTCTGCATTCTGCAGTTCTTAGTTTTTATTCAAGTTGTAGCAGGCAAAGCCAACTCTGTACCAGCAATCAATTAGTGTTGAAGCTGTTGTCAAATGCAGAATGAAAATTCTTTAATTAGAAGGCAACGAACCTGTTGTGGTATCCTGCTAGGAAAATGCTGGCCAAAACTTACAAGAAATACTTTGGAAAAATTACTTGTGTGAAAAGAGGCCGGTGGTCTGGAAAATGCTATAGCAAATGAAATGCATACTGAGAATAAAACAAACATCTGTGTGTAAAATGCCAACTTACCTCAACTCTTGAAACTATCTCCTTTAGTACCGTTGACAGTAGTTATACCAAGTGTGGGTAAATATTTGCTGTACTGTGGCTTCGGTGTTTGACATCATTAGCATTTTACTTTTTACTAGAATGAAACGTTAGAGTTCACGTTATTTTCTTAAGTGGTAAGAAAGTTTTAAGAGCTTATGCTACAAATAGAAGAACTACAGATAGGAGTCATGTTGTTATTAAAAGAAACGGCAGCTTGCTTTGCCATTTTCTTAAAATGGTTTCAACTAGTTTTACAGAGAAATAAAATCACTCGTTAGGTCACTACTTACATATATAGGCAGCTTTACAAGTTGTTTGAAAGTTGGATTCTGTTTCAGGTACCTGTCAGTCTCCAGCTTGAGCACGTCCCCCCCCCTCCACTTGCTATGAGTGGTGATAGTTTGACAGACCGAGACAGATACTTTGGCAGTTTTCCTGCAGCATCTTTACAGGCACCGTGCTTATTACATGTGGGAAATTCTTAAGTCTTTTTGAGACAACACTAGCAAATATGGAAAGTCAATCTGTTAGATTAGCAAGTTAAATGAAGGTTTTATTAGGTTGAAGGTTAAATCTGAACCTGTTTTGAAAGACAGGCAGTGTGAAGGAGGAGAATGAACGTTTCAAAAATTGCTGAGAATTTTAAAAATGCTTATGAAAAATTTAGTATTAGACTAAATGTACTAAATTACTAACTGTAATAGCTAGATTCTTAATTTGCTGGGAAGTCCTGGTTGCCTCACTTAAGCATGATTCCTTTGTGTGCATATGGGCTTTACTTTTAAATTAACTTTTGCAAAATATTTGAAAACCTATAACGTAAGATCCATTCTACTAAATATCTTTCAGAAGAAAGAAAATATCTTTCAGAAGAAGAGAAATAGATAACACAATTTCTACACAGTTTCTCAATACTTTGATCTGGTGTACATATATAGCTAATTTAACCCGTTAATTTTCCACTGAGCATGTCTATTCGAAGCAGGATTTCTTATGCAGCTTGAATTTCCAGATTATTGCTTCTGACTGGTTATCTACTTGTGATGTTGGTTTTATATATAAGATTCTGTGCTGGGAATTTGATAGATATGTGTTTCATTCTCAGTTCAGAGATTGCCAAAGTTACAGGGCTCTTCAATCTTAATTTTTAATTTTGCAGTTATATAAAGAGTGGTATTCATTTTTTGTCAGTGCAAAGTCTGAGCGCCTGTCATTTCCACTGAGTACAACCCTGAACTGTATTTTGTTAAATTGTTGGGCGTGTATATCTGGTCTCATATCAAAATTAGGGATTATGTCTATAGATGATTGATAGAGAATATAGAAAACTTTATATGGTCATTCATCGGTGACATGCTAACTCTGAATTCCACCAGATAAGCACTGAAGGTTTTTCTGTGTTCCAGTGTGTAATTCTGTAACTGTATTCTGAAAATGATTTGGAATTAGAGCAGGCTTTTTAATTGCGCAAAAATGAATCATGTTTTCCATCTGTGTTAATGCTGGATACTTCTGCTCTGTTATAATGCCGCTGTTATCAAAATGGTCTAAAAATATAAAATGGTAGTTGTTGTATAGAACCTATCTTGAAAGACCACAAAGTACTTAAAATTCACAAGTGTAAATTGAAATACAATAATGTGTACAGACTAGATATTAATTTATCAACAACCAGAGAGATATCTGAATATCATTTTCTTGCTTTAATCAAAAGGGAAGATAACCTTAAAGGCATTTTAAACTAGATATTAACTTTAAAATAACAAATCTAAAAAAAATCTGTATCGATATCTTTTTTTTTTTTTTTTTCCAGGTGATCCATGGCTGGCTTATCATTTCTTCTCTTTTGCTGCTTTTCTTTTTCTCATTCATCTACCTGGGGTAAGTGAACTAAAGCATTAGTATGCTGGTTTTCCTGTATCACTTCGTGTAGGTATTTATTTTAGAACTAGCACTTGAATCTTAAGAATGACAGTGGGTAAGCTATTGTAATAACATTTTTAGTTTTATGTAGGTTCATAGAGTACACATAAAACAGAGATATTTATGGGTTTATAGTGCATCTGATACTGCACAGAAGCTATCTTCCACAGGGTAACTTACTCTGCTAGCATATCTTCTGATAATTTTTTCTAGTCACATGACTCAAGGGCAGTTGTTTACATCATGGCTTTGGTGGTGGGCTGTATATGCAAAGGCCGTTTGCATGGGAGTGGCAGAAAAGAATCAGCTGAAAAGAATCTACTCTCTCACCAAAATATATTCAGTGTTTTTCTTTTCAAATTTGGACATCTGCCTTTATCCGGACATCAAGAAAAGCTGTACATAATGCTTCATATTCTCTAAAACGAGCAACCTGATCAGGGTTTGTAGCTAGAGTTATGCCATGAAATTATTATACTGTGTATATTTCTGTACCACTTGATGACAAATATGCTTCTTTTTGAAGAGGCTTATTTAATTTGGTCTCCAGGGGGAGAAAGTGGTGTTCCTTCAGTCACTAATTTTTGCCAGAAGTGATCTGTGATTCCTTTTTTGGTCAGTATTTTCTCTAACCTTAATAACGACTTTTGAAATACAAGGCAATGTGTGCTCGACAAGTGCAGTGCAGTCTGTGTGGAGACAAGTTGCCAGGCTCACCTCCTTTGGGTTTGGGTTGGAGCTGGCACTCTTCCATGGGCATGTGTGAGTAGAGGGACTGAAAGCTTTCCTGACACTTTGCTTTCCATCACCTGTCCCTGCCACCTCATAGCAGGGAGTTTGTAGACCGATTATACATGATGGCAGTAAGGAGCATCCTTTTAACACTGTACATCTCAAAGGCCAGCTAACAACTAGGGAGGGCAAATGTCCTGGAGGAAAGTATCATGCAAATTATAAGGTTCTTATTGGCTTGGTGAGTTGACAGCAGCAGAATCTGCAAAAAGCCATCACAACTGTTTCTTCCCTGTGTCAGTGGAAATCACCTGAGACTTGGTGACAACATATTTGTCTATTTTGATTTTACTTATTGAGGGTCTTAATTAATTTATAGTATTTGGTGTGGCAGAGTGACAAGGTTCATCCGAAAAGAAAGCTTTTTACTTTAGTGTTTGTGGCAAAGAAAAAACCAGAATAACCATGTATATCTTACTTTGAAGTTAGCTAAGTGTTTCCATTCCACAGGCAGCAGGTAAGTACAGACAGATCTGTTTGCATGCCTTTAAAGATCCATTATAACCTCACAAGTTCTTAAGATTTTTAAAAATCGTGAGCATAATAAAAATGACTGGTTTTGCAGTAACATCCTTTCATGTCAATTTCTGCTTTGATTGAGAAGGAAATAGAACATTAATGAAAATTTTCAGAAAAGTGAAAGAATTGGTATGAAGCTAACACTGGTAAAATTATCCCCTTTGTGAAGAATAGTTAAGTACTAATGGTAGATAGACTTTTACATTTGTGCCACTACACTGCATATGAAAATTAAAAAAAAAAAACATATTCTGAACCTTGCCTCTGTAACTTGTTTCCATTGTTTTAAGCAAATGCAGTCCATATTCTTTTTCTTTTTTTTTTCTTTTCTTTTTTTTTTTAGTGAGGTTTTTAAGACTTATAACGTCGCCATGGACTACATTACGGTGGCACTCATGATCTGGAACTTCGGTGTTGTGGGAATGATTTGTATTCATTGGAAGGGTCCACTTCGGCTCCAGCAGGCATACCTCATTATGATAAGCGCTCTCATGGCCTTGGTGTTCATTAAGTACCTTCCTGAATGGACTGCGTGGCTTATCCTGGCTGTCATTTCAGTGTATGGTAAGGTCTGGAGTGAGGCATAATAACAGGTATTATGGTGGGAATTTCCTCTGTTCCCTGACTTTTCCGTTTGTTTGACTAGACCTTAAAAAAAGAAAAAGGATGGGGGGGTATCATCCAAAGTAGTGGATAAGGTGATTACAGACTTCAGAAATAAGATCATGATCAAAACAGATTGGTCCCCTGCAGCCCCCTAAGGGCTTTGTGTGATTGTGTGATGCCATCTTCCTTCATGTTTTCTGGACTTTCTAGATTCTTTGGGGAGGAGAATTGGAGTAACTCAAGAGAGGAGGAGATAAGAGACCTATGTTGCCATTTTGATCACTTCTGTGAAGGTGGAGAGCTTTCGGTTTCTCGTTTTCCCCAAGAATCCTTGGAAACTATTGTATGTTCAGATTTTAGGAGCTTGTTGTTTGGGTGCGGTCCCATACAGGTATAGATCTGCCAAACCTACAAATTGCTCAAATTTGTGGACATAGAAACAGCACCCTAATCCATGCCTAATAATATAACAAGAAAGAAGCAAGGAAGGATTAAAGGCAGCTTTCATTGCTCAAAGTCAAATTAATTTGAATTATTGCATATTACGCTTTTTCAGAATGATGACTTGAGATACTTAGATGTAGTTTTTTTGTCAAGCTTTAGAGGGCACTGGAAACTCTTGGTAAGATCACTCTATATCCCAAATACTGATTTAGTTCACAGGCAAAACTAAAATCCAGTTACTTAAACATAATTAAAACATTACAGCTGAGTGTACCCATGAAGTTGTGCTCATCACTTGAATTTTTTGGAAGCTTTTACATGTGATGAATGTGTACTCTGAAAGTCACTGATAAGTGATAAAGACTGAGAATCTGTCCGATTGTAGAAGTGCAAGGGTTAATAAGATTTGATCAGCTCTGGTAGGTCAGTGTACTCCTTAGGTGTCCTCTTCCTTCAGAGGGAGGAAAAATGACCCTTGTGTGTATGCCCATGGATCATAAGGCATATTAAGGAAACCTTCCCACCCCCCTGTCCCCACTTCTATCCTTCATATGACTGGAACAGATCTGAGTATTCCAAGCATTCAGCCTTCGTTCAGTAGTTGCAAACCACAATTACTCTTCGGATTGTATTCCAAGACCATAACATGGTAGTTTTGAGTAAAGGGGAGGTAAGTTTCAAAGCCTGTGACCCCACGCTAAGAATTCTTTATTGAGTAGGACCAGCAATAGTGTGAGGGCCGTTCACTCAGGTGCAGAAGGCCTGCTCTGTGCAAGATACAACTCCTGACAAGTAAGCTGTTCCTTTTGGTGTCAGATTTTGTTTCAAATTAAAGACATACAGTGAGTGGACAAGGGCAGATAGTAGTAGCAAGGTTAGTATGTAGATGTTACAACTTTCTGCCCAAATATGCAGGACAAGGGAAAAGTAGCTGAGGTGGTTTGTGGAGTTGCAGATTTCATTAACAAGCCATCAATGTTCAGGTGAGAAAGCAAATGGATCAGTTTTTCTTAATGCTGTGCCTTGATCTGTATGAGTAACTTGTACAGTCATCCTACTTTGTAAAGGATTGCTTTTCAGTTAATTTTTACTTGTTCACCCAGTTTCATATACTGTCCCCTGAACAAGAGTTGAGGGAAGCAACAAAAAGTTGCTGTTCTTTTCTTATGCTAAATATGTTTTGAACACCTCTCAAATCTATGCAAACACAGCATTTTTCTGCAGTGCATAATAAACCTGGTTTTTTTCCTCTTCACACCACTTTTTTTCATCTTTAAGTGGGAATAAATTTGCAGTCATGCCTACTTCATAGAAGTTATGTAAGCCTCAGTTGCCTGTTGTTTTAAAAGTTGTTTTAGCATTAAACTTGGGTTAAGAAAAGCTTTGATAATAGAAAGCAAGCTTGGGTATTTCCAAGACGTTAGTTGAATAGTAGCTTTCGTGAATTATTTGCTTTCAGCTTGCAATTCAACATACACAGATACGTTTGCAGTTGCATAATATGCTAAGTGAGGAACATCACATTTTTAAAATTTTTATACACATTACAGTAATATGTAAAATAGAGACTATTAAAAAGTATTCCTGTAGGATACTGACTTGTGGCCAATGTCTCTGTCAGCAGTCTATGTTCAGGGTAGCATTTTATGTTATTACCAGTCTCTGCAAGTATTATAGAAAAACATTCTTATGTCTGCAGTGATGTAAGACCTGTTCACTCTTCCTTTCAGATTTGGTTGCTGTCCTATGCCCTAAAGGTCCTCTTCGTATGCTAGTTGAGACAGCTCAAGAGAGAAATGAAACTCTCTTCCCAGCACTTATTTACTCCTGTAAGTACATTTCATTAAATACTTTGAACTTAAAATCATCCACTCAGATGAAGTGATTTTCTCATTTTTCTGTGTTTTAACACGGTGCTTGTCAGCTGGAATTCTTAGTCTGTTCTCTTGAGCCTCAGTTTTCCTTTCACTGTTGACTCAAAAGTGTGGAACGTCTTCTGGCTAAGATTTTTCAAGGTAAAACCCAACATGTTTTGTTACAAAATATGAAAAGGAAAAAATGGTAATACACCTTGTTTTGGGAAAGAGGTATGTCATTAGGCTGTGAATTAAGCCTATTCAAAGGGAGTACTTGTTTTCAGAAAATATTTATCAACTTTCAGTGCTTAAATAACCTGTGTGTTACTGGAAGGAAAGGAAGAAATTGCCAGGAAGAGATTCGTTTACAGAACTATTTTCTCCAGGGCTTGTCTTTTTTGATACATTGTTTCTCCCTGCAGTTGTGAAAAATAAGCTACTGAATGCAAATTGTTATTATGACCTGTGCATAGATTAGTACATAATTCCACTGCTTCCGAAGTTCCACGTTGCTAGCCGCAGTCGTATGGATATGCAGTGAAATGGGTTAATCATAAATCATTATGCTACTGGTGCTGAAGAAGGGCCTCTATCTGGAAGCAGGAAGGGTGCTGTAGACTGGCTGGCTGCTTCAGGGACAAGTTTACGGTGGAGAAAGGGGAGGGGTTTCTTTATCTGTCACTCTTCCTGTGTTTTCCTGATACTACTCATAGCCGCCTGTTGTTCTCTTTTGTGGAAGGAGAGGTTAGCGCTGAGAAACCACAAACTTGCATTAAAATACACCATTTAAATGTGACAACATTTTATTACCTCCAGATTGGAGAATTCTTTATGATGGTGGAGGTAGAGAACAATTAACTTTGATGCAGATACTGCCTCTGTGTTGAGGTACTTCAGTACCAGTCTTAATAGATCTTTTTACGTGCAGATCTGATTAATGGAAAAAAGTAAAGAAATCGTTGATTCAGATTTTCAGAGTGGGCCTCATATAGAAGTAATTTCTCTGGCAACAGTTGCCATTTTTTCAACATCACGTAAGAATAAAACAACTTTTATTTGCCAAATTCTGTACATGCATGTTGTAGCTGGTACTGGCTGTGTTCCAGATATTACTGTGCTTTAATGAGATTAAAATTGCCTGTTGCAGAAGATAGTTGTATCAAAAAAAAAAATAAAAAGGATTGATGCCAACACTATCTCAGAATTGCATACATCTGAAGATATAATTAGCTATGCTGGTTTGTTTTGTTTTTTCTTAATAGCAACAATGATATGGCTAGTAAACATGGCTGAGGAAGATCCAGAAGTCCAACGGAAAGCTTCCAAAAACTCCACTTATGATAAACAAGGTGAGTTTTTCTTTGACAAGCCTTTATAGTTGTCATTTTATTGGAATACATGTTTATAGATACTTGTTCTTTAGCTTTTTGAGTGCCCTGGTTGCTGTAGAAGAGTGAAAGCATGGAGGCCTTATTGGAAATGATAGATTTGTCAAGACTTCAAAAATTATTTACTTATTGTGCAGTTTATGTTCTTGAATTCATTTTTCTAGGGTCCAGGATGCTGGTAGTGGAGTGGCTTTCAATAGACAGCTATTGACTGGGCTCAGTTGCTTTTCAAATTGGGATGATATAGTATAATGTTAACTCATTTGTATTAAACAGAAATGTGTCTAGCTGTCTTGGCTATGCAGCTAGTGTTTAAAAACGTGGGCTTTGTTTGTTTACATGTATTGTTAAAGCAGAGCAGTGTTTCCAAATTTAACATACCTGAAGGAGTGTATGTATATGTAACTTTCAGTAGTATTCTATTTTACTGGGAAATTAAGCTGTCTGTGTTGACTGAAAGAAGCTAATGAAATATTAGACGAGAGTTTGTTCCTTAAACTGTGATCTTTAAATTAGGCCACCAAAGAACTTTCCCTCTGTTATGTTGAAGTACTCCTGAATACTAGGACTTAAGTGCAACATGTGCATATGTGCTGTGACTGCAGAGTGCACATTAACTCCTGATTGCTCAAATAAGCATTAGAATCCTAAGAGAGAATGTCTTGTAGTGGTGTGTGCCAATGTTAGATGTTGCCAAATATTATGGAATACGTCTTTTTTCCTCATTCTTCTGTGATCTTATGCGCAGAGAGATTGTCATGTTTTAGAAGGCACATTTTTGAAGGAGATCTTAAATGCTTTTCTTTCTTTGAGCTCCGGCAAACCAGACTCGGAGTGAAGATGCTGAAGCAGATGATGGTGGCTTTAGTCAAGAATGGCAGCAACAAAGGGACAATAGAATAGGACCCATTGAATCAACGCCTGAATCTCGTGCTGCTGTTCAGGCTCTACCCAGTAACTCTCAAACAAGTGAAGACCCTGAAGAACGTGAGTATGGAGTACCGTGTCTGAAATACTTAGTAAATCTGAAGCTAGTTAGTCTTAGTCATCCTGACTGCACATATAGTATGCTGTGAGCCAAAAGCAAGCTGAAGAGCTGCTTTTGCTCATGATCAATACTGACATACCTCATAGAAATAGATGCTTTTTGGTAGCTTTTAGTTTTGCTGCAGGAGTGAGTAATATTGGCCAAATTGGTCTTCAGTTTGATACACAGACTCAAAACTTTAATAGCACAAGCTGCTTTCAGACCATTATACAGTCAGTTGCATTAGCTTCTGTCTTTTTCACAGTGTGTTCTGCTCTGTATCCCCTCTTTTGGATTTTAGGCCCTGTAAATGCAGTCATTAACATTTTTTTTGCCTCAAGATTAAACTACTGTAATCCACTCTGTAGAAAGCCATGTTTAAAACCTAACTGGAGACTGAAATGAATGCAGAACACCATGAGCTTTGTTATTTTTCTCCAGCATCTTGCTGAGGTGCAGTATCTTTGGAGAGCATATGACATCAATGCTCAGATATCTGTTTGAACAGACTCGTGCTTTCCAGTTGGAGTTTAAGCTGCTATTAGATTTGCAAAGCTCTGAATAAATTAGGGTCTGCCTGTCTAATAAACTGCTCTCCCCATGTAATGCTGCCATATTTAGCAGGTGCATCTGCTTCCTCTGATTCTCAGGTGCTCCTCTGTTTAAAAATACAGAGAATTCTACTTTAAGAACAATTTTAGAATTTACTTTGTCAAAGAAATTCCAATTTCAGAGCGTGTTGCAAATCCATTTTCATTTCTAGAGCTTAGAAAAATAATATTAAGATGGACAAATTTTAGGAATTGGGCTGTTTCAGTTAGTTAACTGGTTAACTAAAACTCTTGTCTGGCATGACTAATAATTTTCTCCTTCCCGTATTCTTACAGAGAATAGTAATGACAGATATGCAGTGACCCAGTCAGACTTGTCAGCCAGCATTAGCTTACTAGAAGTTTGGTGTGGCTTATTAGAAATTTGGAGAGTGCACTTGTGTGGAAAGAGTTACCTGGCAGTTGCCTTTGTTGATTGTTCTGTCACACTGAAAGCAAGCATCCAAGTTTTGTTTCAGCAGTTAAAGGGTGTTTTAGTGTTTAAGAGCTTTTCATGAATACTCTAATCTCGATCCCATATCGGACGCCTGCTGAAAGAGAGTAGGTTTGGTTTTTTCTTTTCTCCTATCTTTCTTTTTTTTTCTTTTTTTTTTTCTTGTCTTTTTTTCCCTCCTGATCAGCCAGGCATACACCTCTGTTTTGATGCTCTGAGTTCCTCTTAGAACTCTGAAGTGAGTTTTGGGCTGGAGTGTAATCAGGTGGCAAACGGTAGGCCAAATGAAAACAGCTGGTGACCTGGTGTTGGCCTCTCTGACTTAGTGTCTTGGACTAAAACTTCAGAAAGCGAACTGGCATTCAGGAAATCTTCATTAGTTTGTTTGCAGAAATAATCAAGTATTGTGCTCCCAGAGTTGTTGCTAAGGTGGTAATTACTATTTAAAAGACATCAACTCATGCGTTTTCCTAAACCTCATGTCTTGGACTAAATGTGTTGGGTTTTTGCCTCTTTGATAATGCTCTGCAATTACACACAAGTGCTTTTTAGAACTACCTTAGTAAGAATTCTGTAGGAAAATTGTGAGGGCAGTGGAATATTTTGCTGGGTATAAGTTTCTAACTGGCAAATAAAACATCATCTGCAGGGGACTTACTTGTTTTCCCCCTCCCTCAGACAGCTTAAAGGAATTGTATTTCAATATTCTGTTGAATATGACATGATAAAGAAAAGTGGACACCCCCCCAACAAATATAATTACAAATATGTGAGTTTGTACAGGAAAGTAGGAATATAGAAAAATCTAATTAAGTGGTGTAATGTTCCTAAGCCATTTTGTTTCACAAGAGTTTTTCTTTATTGCTTGATTCAGGAGTGGTACTAGTTGTGAAAATAAAATGTTCTTATTAGCAAGTCTTGTTGATACTTAATGTAAATCTCTTTTATTCTCTGACAGGTACTGATATGTGATATTAATAGACTGTCTGATACTTAATGCTGCCATATATTCACTTTTGCAGGAGGAGTAAAGCTAGGTTTAGGAGACTTCATCTTTTACAGTGTCCTTGTTGGCAAAAATTTTAGCTTTTTTTTTAGCCATATTAATTGTAAGTATAGTGTAATATTATAATAGGGATAGTTTCTGTTGTTCATCAGGGGCAAAGTCATAACTGCTACATTTTTTTCCTTTGGAATTTGTTTATTTGGTGGCCAGACTGAAAACTGATGAGGGCTTTAGCTGTGATCTTCATTGACTGTACATCTGTCACTTAGACCTTTAGTTTAGGAAGGCATGAATTGTATCTTGTATTTCTGTGGGTTTAATGTTTTTATATATATATATATATATGTAAAAATCTATTGCTTGTCAGAGTTCCCTAATTCTCCCTATGTTTTTTGTTGTTTTTTTTCTTCCCCTCAGGGTCTGTGCCTTACACTTCTGCTTCTTGCCATCTTTAAGAAGGCCTTACCAGCTCTTCCAATCTCCATAACCTTTGGGCTAGTTTTTTACTTTGCTACAGATAACTTGGTGCAACCCTTTATGGACCAGCTAGCATTCCATCAGTTTTATATCTAGCACACTTGATGCTGGTATTCTATGGATATTTGTAGCAAATCTGTGAGGAGGAAAAATGTTTTTCCCTCAGTTCTCAAGTGAGACTGAAGTTTAATACTCAAGATTCCAAGCCTGAATCATTACAACTTCCTCCGATGATGGTGTTGGGTGTTTTTTTTTTCCTGAGACAACTGCTGCACTGGGCACCATATGAATTTTCCTGTGTGAAGGTGGCTTCTTCCTGATGGCTGGTCTAAACCGGGTGCTATTATACCAGAGGTAATCTGATATACATATCTCTGGTAAGGACCACCTGTGTGAAAATTGCTAATGCTTCCACCAGCAATGTGATCTCTTACCACAGGTTGATTATTTTCACAGCATTAAGGGTGCTCAGGACTTCCTTGATGTTAACAGAGGAAGCTGACAAATCACATGAACTTGTCCCTGTAACCAGTTGAAGAGAGAGAACCCAATTCAGACTTCTTCAGCAGTGATTTTTTTTTACAGTGGAGTCCTGACTCTGCTTTGTGTAATGAGAAAGGACTTTGTAGGAATTTGACAAAGGGAGAAAGTACTGTCACTCTGAGAGTGCTCCACCACTTCATAGCCTCTGTGCCTGAGTGTTCTTGGTTTAGTAAATTTAAAAGCTTTTTTTTTTTTCCCCACACTGGAACTAGAGCCTCTTCTCAGTTTTAATACTTTGTATCCTCAAGCATGGAGTGCACCTTCTGTACACCTGCTCCAGTTTAAGTAGCTACTTAGACTTGGACTGAATTATTTGGCGTTAGTGGATCATAAGGTCCTAATTTGGATCTTAGATTCCTAAAGGTTAATAAACTACATTAAAAACATTTTCAGGACTTACTATTTGTGCTCCTGCAAATCATTTTGCTAAGAACACCATTTCAAACCCCATGTTTGAGAATAGTTGCTAACAGCACAGACTGCATTGTTGGTATATGTTCCTTCTATTGAAATTCTTACAAAATAAGTAGTCATTTGCAGCAATCCCAGATGGAGTTTAGCTTGCCAGATCTAGAGGCCAAAGTGTAGCACCTCTAATGCATCACTGAAATTCTTCGTCTTCAAAAATGTGGTTTACAGTTTTGTTGACCTGAAGTATTGGTCACTCAACCATCTAACACCTCAGGTTGGGCAGATACTTTTTTTTTTTCATGCAGTATCTTTACCATTTGTGGCCCTCTTCATTTTAATTACCTCCTCCCGTGAGACACCGAAGACTGGAGAAGTGAAAGACAACTCAAAATCACTGAAAAGAAGACACAAGATTTTGAACTTCTTACAAGAAAAAGAATCGATTCAAATCTTAAAACTGCTAAACTCTGTTTTCTTCTTCATTTGAAAGAACTCATTTATGAATAATTGCTTGGAAATGAGACTTGTGTGGGATGAAGTTGTTTTTCCTGTAGGCTCTTACTCTGTACAAGTAATTTTTTTTTCTGAGGGAAGCATAGGGAGTGGATACTGTTGACGGACATTCCATTTTACTTGCATCTTGATACTGGAGTCCTTGCCAAGTAGAACAACTGTCAGAATCCTGATGCAAACTCCTTTTACCTTTTTTTGGGGGGCTTTCAATCTACAGGCACCGAAACAAAGGACTGAGACATCACAGATGCTCACCAACCATTGCCCAAATAAGGGAAGAAAGGCTGTGATGTATGAATCTGCTTTAAAACCAAGAAAGGCTTACTTTGATTGTCTTTGGAAACATCTGTCTTTTCCAGTATGACTTGCTAACTGTAGTGTTAGCATTTACATTTTCATAAAATATATTGTCTTGTCTCCTCTAAAGTACTTTTATTCATCTCATTTGTGTGCTGATTCGTTGTGGATAGCATTAATAAACTAACCATATCAAAATTGCTTACACTGACTTTTCAAGTCAAACTTGCTTGTGTTTTCTAGCTTAAATCATTGGTCCATATTTTGCTGCATTGAAGCCGGATTTAAAACATTTGGGGGTTTTTTGGGGGGGAGGGTTGTTTGGTTTGGGGTTTTTTTACAGGACTTTGAGTTGTTTTTATACTATCGTAACTTGTCCCTTTCCTGAGAACTGTATCTAAGAAATTCCCTCGTGTGTTTTATTGGGCATCCTTTCTATAGTTTCATTGTATAGGACAGATTTGCTAAGAGTTGGCATCGCTAGCATCTGTTTGCGTATCTGAGCCAATTCTCAGTTAAGCAGTCATCTTTATTGTTTGGTTTTTGGCTTAAATATGCACCGTGGGAGTACTAGCTCCATTAAAAGTTGCTTTAGAATCTACAGAAATGCACAAAAGCCTTTCCACATACTTGAATGGGTGTTCGATGTACAACCCAAGGAAGAGCTCAGAATCTTCAAACACTAAATTGCTGGTCTTCCACTCCCCAGAGCTGCTTCTGCTATCCTGATGTTTTAATTTCTGAGCTAGTGTGGAGTTAAAGTAGTGGAGACTATAAAATTTATTTTCATAGAAACTGTTGAAGTTTGAATCTCAAAATAGATTCAGAAGGGAAATTGCTTTTCAAGCCCAGGCTGATATATGTTAAAGCACACTGCTTATTACAAGTCTTACATACACCTTCAAAAACCAGATGAAATTTTCTAGATTTGCCCTCTTATGCCAAGTCATGGTAGCTTGTGTTCCAAATGAGATCTTGCAACTGAAGATCATCTCGGTACTTGGGTCCATGAGGTTCAGTTGAGAATAGTTTTTGTGTGCATTTGTGTTGTTACTACCTAACTGTGAAGGTTGTGTCACTTTTCTCTCCTTTGTCTTAAAACACCGATCTAATTTGAGATCATGAACCATTTCAGCTTGGTTAGCTTGGCGTAACTGAAACACTTCTGATATGTAGTCTGCATTTTTGAGAGAGTTTTCGTTATTATTAAATTAGCATGTTAATGACAGTACATTAGACTGTTTCTCTGAAAGAACTATTGTGTAACCTTAGTAGCTAGATTCATCTCTTTTGTGCCCAAGCAGACTGACGGGTATCTGTTGTGTGACTGTTTCAGTAATCATACTTTGAAACTGGGTATCACGATAGCTTTCTCTCCCCTTTCAGGTTACATCAATGATTAGTCTCCTTCCTTGGCTAAGCTTCAAATAAATAAATGAGAAAACATAATACCAAGTTACAGATTTGCCTAAAACCCAGGCACTTTCATTTCTCCCTTTTTTTTTTTTTTTTTTTTTTTTTTTTTCCTGTTGGGGGATTTGATCCAGAGCAAAAAGAGATCAGTGGAAGCTGGTCTTATAGCAAAGATGTATGATGCTGTCATATCTGTGTATGGCTATTGTGGTGGCACTCACATTCAAATGTCATCTGTGTGAGGTGAGTCTTGAAGGTATGGACGTGATACTGTAACACATTCAGAGTAGTTCTGACTGGGTAGATGATGGCTTCTTTGAGCCAAATAATCAAGGGCTGTGCTCCACTACAAACGGCTAATCTCCCCAATGTACAAAGCAGACCCTGACTATTTCAGGCATAGGAGACTGGTGCTTCTTGGATATTATAGATATATATCTGTACCTATAGAGATGTAGATATATATTAGATGTACTCTGGGCCTGTAGATGACAACTGTTCTGCCATTAGTGCAGTCAAGAATTAAATATGCAGAAAGTACATTTTGGGTGGACGGTACTGTATGACAAAACTTCTCAAAATGCTTTATTAAAAAAAAAATTACTTTTGGCGATGATGCTGTTGAAACGAGTTTAAGAGACTGTGGAACATGTCTGCACTGTGATTGCATCTCAGTGGTAACTTGGTCATTGGGAACGTTGAAACATGAACTAGAATGGAATTATTTTACACTCAAAGCATTTGCTGTTTTCTTTTTTACAAACACTGGTTTGTACATAATCTGAATTGAATGTGAATGTTTTTTAAACATCTTCCCGGTTCTTGATAAGATACGTTTTTGATAGATTATTGCAAATTTTCCTGTATTTGTCTAATTATTAAAATAAAAGTTGCATGGATCCTGACTTATCTTGCCTTTACTATATTATTTTAAAGCCATCACTTAAAGCTGTTGGAGGCCTAAGTGCCATAGCTATTTTTATTTACCATTTAATGAGTAAGATTTCTGTCTTAAGACACTTAAGTAACTGCTTTATTTCTCAGCAGAAGAGCTTCAAACTGATTTCTGTAGAAGTACTTTCTTCTAAAAGCTACTTTTTGTGTTCATTTAAAGAGTCGGTCAAAGCCTGTTGTAAAAGCACCCATAAGGTGTAATTAAGGTATAAAAAAAAGATAGGAGATTATACTGAAACACCAGCTGGCACAATGAAGATCAGAGTTACCCAGGAAAAATATATACGATGCTCAGAAAGAAGACTTCATGAACAGTAGTGGGTTTTGTTATTTTGGTGTTGATTTCATATCAATATGATTGAAGAAGAGCTTTTCTCTAGCAGCGGGGGGGGGGTGTGTTTGTTATTTTGGAGAAGTATTCAATGCAGAGTTCAAATTTGTCTTGAGTTGACTGACTGCTATTGAAGATGTTTCTTTAGGGGATTGCCTGATCTCTGTATGGAAGGCCTGCACAGAAGGGAAGGTCTATCCTGACAAGTAGTAAGTCAAGCACAGGTGGTAGGAGGCCTGCATGGATGAGCAAGGAGCTCCTAACTGAACCCAACCAGGAAGTGTAGAAGAGGTGGAAGCAGGGGCAGATGACCTAGAAGGAGCTTAGAGTTGTTTTGCGATCTTGCAGGGATAGGGTTAGGAAAGCCAAGCCCCCTCTCGAGTTGAATTTGGCAAGTGATGTGAAGGGCAAGAAGAAAGGACTCTATAACTATATAATGGCAGAAGGAAGACTAGGGAAAAAAGGTGCCCCCTCACCTGCTGAATGGGGGAGGGGAACTTGTGACAAATGACATGGAGAAGGCTGAGGTACTTGTTGCTTTCTTTGCCTCAGTATTGGTAAGACTGGCCTTAAGGAATCCCATATCCCTGAGACCAGAGGGAAAGTCTGGAACAAGGTAGACTTAACCTTGGTGGAAGAGGGCAGGTTAGGGAGCATGTAAACAAACTGGATGTACCTTAAGTCTATGAGGCCTGACAGGTTGCACCCATGAGTGCTGAGGGAGCTGGGTGATGTCATTGTGAGGCCACTCTCAATTGTCTTTGAATGGTCATGCTAGCTGGGAGAGGTTCCTGAAGACTGGAAGAGAGCAAATTTCACTCCTATGCTCAA